TATATATATCCCTTGTTTGTATAGAAGTGCAATACATATTGTTCAATCCAAGCAAAGAAAAATTGTAAAGAGAAGGCTACAATTATCTGCTAAATTCCTACCATGTGTCAGACCTTTTCACTACTGTATTAGCAGAAGGCTATCTGTTGCAAGTGACAGAAACTCAAATCAAATTCGCTAAGCATAAAGGCAAATTTATTGACTCAAGTAACCAACTAGTCAGGAGTACGGCTCAGGCATCAATGAATTCAGGCACTCAAAAGATGTCATTAGAAATCTTTCTTTTCCTGCTTCCTCTGTGTTGGTTTCATTCTCAGGCAGGCACCCCTTTCTGGATAGTCACTAGAAGCTACAGGTTGCACAAACTGCAAAGAAAGTCTTATTCCAATAGCTCTCTAGGCAAAAGCCAGGGTCTGAAAAATCATTGAATTACTTGAGTCACCTGTTCCCTTGTGCTAATTGGCCAGGCTTGAGTTATAGATCCAACTCTGTCACAGGTGGTTGGACTGCATGAACAAATCATGGAGAGGAAATGTTCCCTTCAAAGTAAAAGTATGCTACTGCCAGAAAAGAGAGGATTTAATTCTGTGAAGGTCATAAAAACATACATCTTCTACATCCATACACTGTATTCCCTACCTTTATTCATCCTTTAGTTTTTTTGCTACTCACACTGTGTTTAGGCTTCACCTGGGAGCTGATTAAAGATGCAAATTTGCAGTCTACATTCCAGACCAATTTACAACCTCTCCCTAGGTCAGTGGTTCTCAACCTTGGCTGCACATTAGAATCACCTGGGAATCTTTTTGAAATCCTGATTTCTGGGCCTCATTCTCCGGAAATTCTGTTTCTTTGTTATGGGGTGGGGCCACAACATTCGTAATAAAGAAACAATTTCCGGAGGATGAGGCCCAGAAATCAGGATTTTAAAAAGATTCCCAGGTGATTCTAATGTGCAGCCAAGGTTGGGAACCACTGCCCAGGTGATTCATCTGCTCATTAAGTTTGAGAAGCACTCCATTTATCCAATCCTTTCTAATGTGCTGAAGGAGAAAGAACTCCGTTGCAGCCCACTAACAGGTAAGAATTATTCCTAAGACTACTTGACTATAATGCTGCAATAAAAATAGGGACACGTACATCTTTAAGAATAAGTGTTTTCAATTTTTGTTGCATGGATACCCAGAAGAGGGATTGCTGGGTCAGATGGTAGTCTAAATTTTCTGAGGAAACTCCGTACTGGTTTCCATAGTGACTGCAACAGTTTACATTCCCACCATCAGTGGACAAGTGTTCCCTTTCTCCACATTCTCTTCAACATTTATCGTCATATTGAAAACAGGCATTGTCGTGAGTGTGGGTAGTATCTCATCATGGTTTTGATTTGCATTTCACCTATAGCTAGTGATGTTGAGCATTTTTTAATATATCTGTTGGCCATCTGTACAGCTTCCTTAGAAAAGTTTCTATTCAGGTCCTCTGCCTATTTTAATTGGATTGTTTTTGTTGGTGGTGAATTGTATGAGCATTCGGTTCATTGCCTTTTATTTTGTTGGTGGTTTCGTTTGCTGTGCGGAAGCTTTTTAGTTTGAAGTTAGTCACATTCATTTATTTTTGTTTCACTCCCTTTGCCTTGGGGTCAAGGTCACAAAGACCCCTCTGAGACCGAGATTCATAAGTTTAGTACCTATGTTTTTTTCCATGTATCTGTTTCTATTTTTCTGTTTTAGGTCATATTCAAGTCTTTAATCCATTTTTCTGTATGGTGTTAGGAGTGATATATTTTTTTTAAAATATATTTTATTGATTTTTTACAGAGAGGAAGGGAGAGAGATAGAGAGATAGAAACATCGATGAGAGAGAAACATCGATCTGCCGCCTCCTGCACACCTCCCACTGGGGATGTGCCCGCAACCCAGGTACATGCCCTTGACCGGAATCGAACCTGTGACCTTTCAGTCCACAGGCCGACGCTCTATCCACCAAGCCAAACCGGTTTTGGCAAGAGTGATATATTTTTAAAAAAGAAAAGACTACTTGAGACACCACACCAGGTCTGATATCACAGTTACCAAGTAGCGGAAATTTGTGACTGGTAAAAAAAAAATACTTTTGTATTGGAGGTTTTACAGACTTCATATCATTCTAACTTGGCTGAAACCAACTTCTACCAATGTTGTCATAACCTTTTCTTCCTTTTTTTTTTTTTTTTTTTTTTTTTTTTTGCTATGAAGCAGATTTGGTGCAATCTAGCCAAAATCATAATTTTTTAAAAATTAACATCCATGTTGTCCTTCCAGGAAGTCTTGAAAACAGGGATTAAGATATTTATTCATCTGATAGCATGAGTCACAGTGAGTTTTATTTCCTTTTTATTAATTAACAAGTTAAAGATGAGTTTACTTGCCTTGAGATACAAGTAACTCAGATATAATGTAGAATGACAAAACAACCCTCTGTGTAGCTTATAAGGGGGAAAATGTGGCATTTATATAAGGAACTGTGACCCAAATAATTCAAAGCTAAAAATTCATCCAAAGTACACAGTCCAGCAACCTGCAATTATTTTCAAAATACTGTCCTTCACTAGGTTTTCCTGCATATATCGAAGAAGCATCATAGGCACACTCTAAAACAGGGGTGGGCAAACTTTTTGACTCGAGGGCCACAATGGGTTCTTAAACTGGACCGGAGGGCCGGAACAAAAGCATGGATGGAGTGTTTGTGTGAACTAATATAAATTCAAAGTAAACATCATTACATAAAAGGGTACGGTCTTTTTTTTTTTTTTAGTTTAATTCATTTCAAACGGGCCGGATCCGGCCTGCAGGCCGTAGTTTGCCCAGGGCTGCTCTAAAAGCTCCTTTCTTTCTTTTTTTCCTTTCTGTCACAAATACACCACAGCTTTTCCCACTTCTACTCCTTCAAATTTTATTAAAATCTCCTGCTCCAGTCCTGGCTGAGATAATAGAGTGTGGCCCACAGATGTGCTTTGTTTGGCCTGAACAGTGTTTTCAAAATCAAGAAATTTGTCTGGCTGTGGTGAATCAGTGGTTGAGCATCAGCCTAGAACCAGGAGGTCACGGTTCAATTCCCAGTCAGGGCATATGCCCAGGTTGTGGGTTCATTCCCCAATCGGGCAGAAGGCAGCTGGGTAGGTCAGGGAGACTGGGAGTCTGTTAAATCTATTGAGTAGATTTTTACCTTTTCTCAAGGAAGAAGGAAAAACCCCTTTCGGTAGTACTTTTATGTGACAATAGCAAGTAGTAACTTTCATGTCTATGATAAACACCTTTAAGATTCTGCTCCTACCTATGATTTATCATTAAAGCAGAGAAAAAGGAGAAATATAGCAGATAATTTATTTTTGTCTTTTTATCTTATGATAAATAAAAATTTCATGGACAAATGAGAAATGGCAAAAAATGTCATCTTACTCAGCAGTCCTCAACCTATAGGATATTTGCCTATTACATTTGGAAGTAAAGAAAGACATAGTGGGAAAATGTTCTAACCTAGTAAAAAGCATCACCTGTTCTTAAACCCAGGACCGATTTTCAATCAGTATGTACATTATTGAGCTGAAGAAGTTGCTACAATATTGAAAGACTTGCTGCCTAGACTTCCTCCTTATCAATGCCCACCTTTGTCTACCCAAGCCTATGCCCTTGGGCTCCACAGACCTCCTCCAATTCAAGCACCTGCAGGTTAATGCTTGGTACAGCAGAGTCTCCAATATCTTGTTCAAGTTCCCCCAAAAGTCCTTCCCTTCAGGTCCTATTAGTAGCTATGACCCCTCAGGGGCTCTGGAGGACTGTGCCTAGCTAGCTCTTACAGGAAGCCCAAATGGTCTACACTGGTACCTAGTAGCCTGCTGGCCTGCTGGCCTGCCAGCCACCTACCACAGATATCATTTGCCTATCCCTGTCCCTGCATTGTGACCTTCCCCAAAGTCAAGGAGACCAGAGTTCCACAGAGAAAACAGCACCTTTCTTGGCATCCTGGTAGCAAATACCTGGTGCTCATATAATCCATATCTTTGCTATGATCACCTGCTTTCAATCTTAATTCCCCCCATAATTTCCCTCATGTGGTTGTTGATAGGAACCGCAAGTCACCTCAGTACTTTAACTCTTATAAGAGTATGGGGACAAGGAACAAGAATTGCAGAGATAATGGGGGCCCCTGAGGCCAAGGACAGAAGGAGCTTGTGAGTGACAGATAGGCCCCATGGTGCAATGTGGGGCTAACTGGTTCCTAAAGTAAACAAACTCTTGGTATAGTCCCTGGTGAAATTCACCTTTAACACCCACTGAAAGCCCAACTGAAGTAGGGCATTCACAGCACTAATTATATACCTATTAAGTGATTGTCTGTGCCAGGCATTCTTATCAACGTGTTAAACCCCCTGAGTACTGTAATGATTAATGTCCCCATTTTACAGCTGAGAAAACTGAGGCATAGGGAGGTTGTTTAAAACTAAATGGGCAAAGTCAGATTTTGAACCCAAGGGGTCTCATCTGGTCTAATGGATTAGAAATGATTGAATTAAATATTCAAATAAGCAATTTTCATGACAGCCATTATAAAGATACCAAATATATATTATGTACAAATCTCAGTATTACAAGACGCTGAAAAAAAATTCAGGTATTTGCTGTTAATTCAGAAAATGATGAGGGATAATTTTCAATCATAAATAATATCATTTATGTAAAGAGACATTCTCCTTTTTTGTAAATATAAGTCATGAAATACAAACTTCACATGGTCTTAATTTATTTTATTATTAATAAACAAAAAATATGATATTTCCATTAACATCAGAAAACTAAGGACATGAAGAGACACCAAGAAGACTTCTCAGCCATTTTTTGGCTTCAACTGAAAGGACTCATTATAC